ATATATATATATATATATATATATATATATATATATATATAGGGCTATCTAGTATCTATATGTATGCTCTAGTGGCTAACATTGGAGATATAGATAAACCTCTGGAGGAGTAAAGTTTGGGGACCACTGCTCTAGTTCGTTGAGATCATCAGCGTAGGTTCACTTTTGTGGCACGCACACGTATATCCGAGGTGCTCCATTTGGAGAAAACATGTCTCCAACGGGGCTTTCTCCATTGCAATGCTTGCCATGGCAATTAAAGAGAGGTCAAACTGCATTATTTCGGCAGTGCAGATGTAGCCACGATCATCATTAGCGACAGCAGCATCAGCATCTGCCACTCTTGGGGCTAGATTTGGGGAAGAGGACGGACATGATTACATGGATGTGCCATGAAACAGGACATGGATTGATGCACCAGCGGAGATCTCAACCATGGAAGCCAACTGGCCACCAAAGTTTGGGAGCTGACTCTTTGGGCATTGAATTATTAAGGCAGAGAGGGGCCAAGCCAGTTAATGGACCCTTGGAGAGACTGGTGATAAGGACTGAGATAAGAACGTATTAAATATATGTATCCATGTATGGGAGAGCCATCGTGGTTTGAGTCTTGGACTCTGACTCTGGAAACCAGGGCTCAAAGTTTGGGAAACTCTGCAAAAGTTTAGTGTAAGAGAAGGTCATCAAAAAGAAAAGCTCTCAGCTCAGATTAAAGTGATGCAGTGGGTCCTTGGTATCTGTTGGGGTTTGATTCAGGGACCCCCCCCCATGGATATCAAAATCTCTGGATGCTCAGATTCTATATTATTGTTATTATTATTATTATTATTATTATTATTATTACTACTACTACCATAGTGGGGGTCCTTGGTATCCACTAGGGTTTGATTCAAGGACACTCCCCCATGGATACCAAAATCTGTGGATGCTCAAATCCTATATTATTATTATTATTATTATTATTATTATTATTACTACTACTACTACTACTACTACTACTATTAATACTACTACAACAGGGGCCCTTGGTATCCATTAGGGCTTAATTCAAGGACCCACCCCATGGATACCAAAATCTGCGGATGCTCAAGTCCCATTATATTCAATGGCATAATAAAATGGTGTCCCTTCCATAAAATGGGAAAACCAAGGTTTGCTTTATGGATTGTATATGGAATATATTTTCCAAGCCAGGGATGGTTGAACCCGGGGATGAGGAATCTGTGGATGCGGATTGTCGACCGTTCGGTCTGTTTTTCCACCTCTCGTTCTGATCGACGTCTCCATCGCGAGGCAAACTCCCTTGTCCGTGGGGGTTATCTTCACTCCTTTAATTTTTAAAAGGCCGCTCTGTTTTCATTGTGTTTTCCCAGGTGCCGACCTTTCGGATTATTTCAACTACGGGTTCAACGAGGAGACCTGGAAGGCGTATTGTGAGAAACAACGCCGGCTCCAACTTGGCTTGGAGTCTTCCACTCCTGTCAGCACCGAGAATAAAATCACGGTAAGAAATAGAGTCGGACATTTGGAAACCAAAGCAAAAGATGCTCCAAGGGAGGAACAAGGCTGCAAAACAGATGTTGCATAAATCAAATCATGTCAAATGTTTGCAATGCACAGCTGTATAATCATTACAACAGATCTGTT